ATCGACAACGTACGAAATTAATTTTCGTTATTCGATGCATTCAATTGTAATAATTTTTCTGCAGTTTTTTTCTTTTTTTTTCTTTTTTTTTTTCCATTTTTTCACGAAAGACATAACGTTTAAAGTTATAGCGTTTTCATGTGGGCATACATTGGCGTATATGTTTACGAATTTACTTAGGATACATATTTACGTATACGCGCATACATATGTATAATATGTATATATTTACGTACAATATATTTCGTATTTAGTTACGTTTTACACGCATGTTTATTTTTTTATTTTTTATTATCTTTTTTTTCTTTTTTTTTTTTCTTTTTGTTTTTTTATGTACAACACGTACGTATATTTTAGAGAGAAATTATTTCTGTTTTGTTTCGTTTATTTTTTTCTTCCCCTTTCCTTCCCCCTGCCTTTTTTTTTTTTTAATCGGTATTCGATTTGTTTGATCAAAATAATGTTTTACTGAATTTCTCTCAACCTTATTTACATTTTATATGTATCTAAAATAATCTACTAGTGTCAACATTATGTATATCTTTTCTAGATCGTTTCGAAAGATTTTCGAGAAGAAAGAAGATATAGAAAACGTGCTTCTACTTTTAACGATAAACCTTTTTCACCTCAACTTATCGCCTATTGTTCTACCAAATTTGCACTTCCCCTTATTTCGTTTATCTTTTATTCATTGAACTCTCATGGATTTAACAAAGAAACCATCGTTCGAAACGATAGAAACACTGTCTTAATTGCTAAATATTCTCATCCTTTCCTTTAACGTGATTCCTCTCTTTAGGACGTTCAGTTTTGCACAGTTCGTAAATTAGTGAAATAAAATCTATTCTTGATTTGATCGGTGATCTTTTTAAATGAATTACTTTTATAATTACATATGTTTTCAAATCGATCGAATTATTTAATGAATTCTCTGGTTTTACTTTCAAACGATATTATATGCATATATATATATATATATATATATTATATATGTACATACTTAGATATGTATATGTCATCGGAGATTCTACTTGCTCTTTTTAGACGGTCATGCTAATCAGTATAATACTGACACCGTATGGAAGTTGGAAACTGACAAGATATGTCGATCGTTCCTTCTCTCTCCTCTCACACTCTCTCTCTCTCTCTCTCTCTCTCTCTCTCTCTTTCTCACGATGAAAACGTTAAAGTCAAGCAAAAAGAAGAGGTAGAAGGTTGAAACTTGCAAATGCATGCGGAACATCGTAGGACAAACTGAGTTCGTCTTCTCTAACGATGCGTATGCCACGACTAGTACGGTGCAATTAAAGTATTTCAGATGTGAATTATTTATGAACGTAACAGAAAAGTACTTCGGGTTTCTGAGTTAGAGAGAAAGAGAGAGAGAGAGAGAGAGAGAGAGAGGCAGAGAAACTTCTCATCATCTTCTCTTCGTTGAGAAGAGATTATGTTCTCGTCAAGCAATATATCGAACAATACGTTTACTCTCTTCATCGTCCCCTTTCCCCATCTAACACGCCCATCATTCTACCGTCATCATTCGTCCGGTTAAACGACACATTTTGTTAATGTACAATTGTACCCTCCACGGTAGTACACTTCACCACGTAATGCTTTCCCGTACATAATGCGATTTCTCGAGGATCTCATAAATTTAAATCATCGGTAGACAGGTTTTGTCGGGCCTGAACTTTGCTGGTACATTTACGAATGAATTTAATCCTACGGGAGGATCCGCATTGACAATTTTTGCTGGATTCCCTTTTTTCGTAAAAGATCCGATTTAACGATTGCACGATCTTTTTTTCTCTCTCTTTATCCTTTTTCGTTTCTATTCTTTTTCTTTCTTATAATATTCCCTTTGTCGGGTTTCTACTCATCCGTGTTCTAAATTTTATTATATATTCCTTTCTCTTTTTGTCCATCTTTCTTCTTTTCTTTTCTTTTCCTTTCTCTTTTTTTGTTTTTTTTTTGTTTTTTGTTTTTTGTACATCCTATCATTCGTTCCTTGCATGTGACGTCGTGGACTATGGCTCTCTATCTTGCTTAATTTCTTTCTTTCATTCTTCTTATCTCTCTTATCAGCTGGTAAAAATTCGCTGCTTATACGAAATATCAAAGATCGTCCGACGAAATTAGATTGGATCATACCCGTCATCCATTTCATTTATTTTCTTTCATTTTATCTTTTGCTCTCTCTCTCTCTCTCTCTCTCTCTCTCTCTCTCTCTCTCTCTCTCTCTCTCTCTCTCTCTCTTTGCTTTCTCCCTTGTCTTTTTTTTTCTCCCTTTTATCGACAACTCGCTCTACTCGATTGATGGTATATTTAATAGATAAGATGTTTCTGAAGCGGCGGAGAGAAAAATTTCTCAAGAATATTTTGTGTATTTATTAAAATTAAGAGGAAAAAAGAAAAAGAAAAGGGGCGGGGGAAGAGAGAGAGAGAGAGAGAGAGAGAAATAGAGAGAGAGAAAAAAAAGAAATTAACGAACATGAAATCTGTCATTTTTTTTTCTTACAAATATGTATTTGAAGAAATCGAAGATAGGAAGAAAGAGAGAAATGTTCGTAGAAAATCGCCTTTCGTTGGGTCGACCAATGCATGCTGATAAACCCGCTCGAAGGAATTTAAATCTTAAGATGCCGTCGAGGGAACACTTTCTTTCCTTTCGAGCTTACTACCTTTCTCCTCATCCCAACCCTCCCCCCCCCTCCCATTCCCCCTTCCACAATCCTTTTCCGTACCTTTTTCTCAAGGATCTATTGCACTTTGACGATTTATTAACCCATCTAGAAATCATACGGACATGCCGACTTTCACGAATTTCTTTCCTCTTTTGAAATTGTTTCTTCGTCGTTCGATGAAAACTCTGAAAGGGAATTGTATTACAGGTAGGTTTGATCGATCGATTCGATTTCTTACTGAAATATGATATATATCTCTCTACGTTGGTACCTCGAAGAATATTCTTCTGAAACGACTTTTTAATACCAATAGTAATAACAATGATTACAATAATAATAATAATAATAATAATAATAATAATAATAATAATAATAATAATAATAATAATAATAATAATAATGATAGCGATGATGATAATGACGAGAACACCAAGGTCTCTTTATATTACGGATTCGTTCTTACAAATGTCTTAAAGGATTGGGCACCTTAAAGCCTATCAGAGATAACGTAAATAAATAAATAAATAAAAAAAAAAAGAAAAGAAAAATTAATAATAATAATAATGATAATAATAATAATAATAATAATAATAATAATAATAATAATAATAATAATAATAATAATAATAATCGTAAATTCTAGTGTACGTTTTGAAAGACGACAAAGGAAGAGTCTAATAAAATTTCGTAGAAAATTGTCTAAAAGGTAGAAAGGTAGGTACGTTCGTACATTGGGACGAGGAGACTGCATTTCGAGAAAAGTCAGTCGAGACGGATGAGAACCAGAGAGTGGAAAAGAAATAAGCTTGAAAGTCAGTTCCCTAACGTTACTCTCAGTTCGCGTTGAGAAAAGTTGCGAGCCAACATAACCAAGGTACGACTTTGAAATGTTCATTGCCGAGCAAAAGGATATCTCTCTCTCTCTCTCTCTGTCTCTCTCTGTCTCTCTCTCTCTCTCTCTCTCTCTCAATCTATCTATCTCTCTCTATCTCTCTTTTTCTCTGTAACGCGTGCGAAAGGAATATACCATGGAAAAATAATTTTCAGCGTGAAATTAGTTGGCAAACTGATACGGTTCGCTAAACTTAACTTCGCAATATCCATCAGATGGTCACGTCGTCGAGAATAGTAGACCCAGAGAAAAAGGAGGTCAATCTTATCAAGATGTTGTCGTTCCATGTCATCTTCGATCTTCCAATCGGTCAATTCGGATACATCGATCGATATATTTTCCTTACATTTTTTATTTTTCCTTTCAGTTTCAACAATCTTTCAAGTTAATTCGAATCGTTCCATTCATCGATTTAATCCTTTCAACGTACTTATATTAAATTAATTTTTACGTTTTGAATTATTTATACGTCTTAAATTATTTATAATTATTTATCCGTATCGTGGTTAATTTTGTCATAAAAAAAAAAAAAAAAAAAAAAAAAAAAAATATTTTACGGATTAAAATAATTCATTTGAAAATTATAAATTTTCTTCTATATAAATATATTATTTAAAAAATTTCTTTTAATAGATCATGAAGGATTATCTCGCACGTGAAGAATTGTAACGAAAAATCGTACGTGTTCTCGAGAAATGAAATGATTCTCAAGAGCTTTGAGTCCTCTCTCTCTCTCTCTCTCTCTCTCTCTTTATATACACGAAATTTACCAAGGAATTTCCTTCAGAATAATTTTATTAGTTATTTACGCGTTGTATCGTTGCCCCAACAGTACATTATAGTAACTGCTTTACGGTAAAGACATTAGTCCGCCGTCGGCTAAACTTGTTCGTTCTTGAAACTATGGGTTTGCAAACGCAAATGCTATTTATCCTATTTTCTTTCTCTTTCTTCTTCATCTTCTTACCATTCTATTTTTTTCCATTATTTCTTTCCCTTATTATCCTATATCCGTTTTGTTCTCTCTTTCTCTCTCTCTCTCTCTCCCTCTCTCTCTCTCTCTTATTTCGGATACGAACTGGAAAAGAGAATTTCTCGTTTTAATGTGTAAGACCTAAAAGACCTTTTCGTTGAACTATTTTTTTTTTTTTTTTTTTTTTTCATTACGTTCTCAGTACGTCGTTTCTATTGGATTAAAGTAGTCAATTAAAGAGATAAAATTCATCATAGAGATTCAAGATTGTGAAAGATTATTTTATTTTATCGCAATTCGGAAAAAGGATACAAGAATTATTTGTGATGATGATAAAGATTATTGAATACCTTTAAAATAATCGCTATGTCTATCGAGAGTAAACGTTTTCGGGTAGTAATATAAATAAATTGTGAATATAAATAAGATAAAATTGGTTGGCATTGATAAATTAAACTTGCACGACGGTTACTTGTTCGGTCGATTCCTTCGTTGGGGATGGTTGTTGCGGTACTTTCAATACGTCGACGATTTGAGGGGTGACGACGATAGGCGCGCTCTCCTCAGGAAAAACATATTCTTCGTGATTTTGAGATGCTCCAAAATAATGTCCGAAACTTTTATAATGTGTATGATCGTGACCATCGAAGGAAGAATGATGATGATCCTCGTGATGTTTCTGATGATGATCGTGGCCGTGTTTGTGATGATGATCCTCATGATGTTTATGTCCTTCGTGATGCTTGTGATGTTCGTCATGATGATGGTCCTCGTGATGATCGTGATGATGTTTATGATCATGGCCATGCTTATGTTCTTCCTTATGCTCGTGCCCATGTTTGTGTTCCTCGTGATGATGGTGTTTGTGTTCCTGATGATGGGAATGATGGTGATTCTCGTGATGGCCATGATGATGCTCCTCCTTATGCCCGTGCTTGTGTTCATGGCCATGTTTGTGGTGATGATCCTCGTGATGGTCGTGCTTGTGGTCTTCGTGATGACCATGATGGTGTTCCTCCTTGTGTTCGTGCTTGTGATCGTGGCCGTGCTTATGATGATGATCCTGATGATGATGATGTTTGTGATCCTCGTGATGGCCATGCTTGTGATCGTGGCCGTGCTTGTGATGATGATCCTCGTGATGGCCGTGGTGATGTTCCTCGTGGTGACCGTGTTTATGCTCGTGACCGTGCTTGTGGTGATGGTCCTCCTTATGTTCGTGCTTGTGATCCTCCTTATGCTCGTGACCGTGATGATGATGGTGATTCTCCGTTTCCTTGTGAGTATGATGGTGATGGTGCTCGTTAACGTGATGGTGTTCGTGATGATGGTGATGCTCGTTATGATGATGATGCTTATGATGATGGTGATGTTCCGCGTGATGTTTGTGTTCCTCGTGATGCTCGTGTTTCGAGTGGTGCTGATGACCGTGGTGATGCTGATGCTCGCCGTGATGTTTGTGATCGTGTCCATGCTTGTGCTCGTGTTTATGTCCGTGTTCGTGCTTGTGTTCGTGACCGTGATGATGCTTATGATCCTCATTATGCTTATGACCGTGATGGTGATCGTGTCCATGATGATGATGATGGTCTTGGTGATGTTTATGCTCTTCGTGATGCTTATGCTCCTCGTGATGGTCGTGATGATGCTTGTGATCGTGTCCATGGTGATGCTTATGGCCATGATCGTGCTTATGCTTCGAGTGATGATCGTGATGCGAGTGATGACCATGATGATGATCGTGATGATGACCGTGATGATGGCCGTGACTGTGATGAAAGGAAGCCGAGTGATGACTGTCGTGACTTTTTCGTTGAGGATTAACGAACGCCGGTGTCACGAACGTAATGTGCGTTCCCGCTGCATCGTTTCTTCGAGCTTGCACCGATGGTTTCGAAGATGTTACCCCTGATAAAGGCCCGGCTCCAATGCCCGAACCACCGTATTCATTGTGAAACGATGATGACAGTCCGTTTGAATTTGTGAATGGTTGAAAAGTGACTCCAGGGAGTCCACCAAGTTGTCTCTTTTTCAAGTTCTTCGTCGGTTTTTCAATGACATCTTGCGATTGAATCGGCTCGATCGAATGTACCTTTACCAATTGATCCTGATTTCGAGTTCTTGGGTCCTGGCTGTCCGCTACTGTCAACAGTAGTCCGACGACCGACAACCATGCCTAACATCAAAGTGAAAATTCTTTTATCAAACATTTCGAGTATTGTGCGAATGACTTTTTATAATCAAATCGGACATTTAATTAATGAAAGCTCACAACTTTGATAATCGAATTTCTTTCATTTTCCTTTCAATTATCTTTGTTCCGACTATGCGATAATAATTATCGACAAGAATGGAAAGAAAAAAGTTAGTGGAAAATGATTGAACCATGAATCGACGATATGACAATGAATCTTCAATGGCTCGTTTCAGTACCGACACGACATGGTCACCAATGCTAATTCTCTTGTTCCATGAATTTTGAACGTGGCTATGACTCTATTGGACACGAACAAAGGACGAGAGTTCTTTGATATATTCTTTTTGAAATGCAAACATTGGTACGTTTTAATAACTCGAAATTTAATCACCAGTCTACCGAGTGATCTATGGGACGGCACGTTAATAATGAGAAAACGTTTAAAAAATTTTGTCGGGAAATGAAATTTATTAGGAAGAAGATATATTTATAAAAAAATTTTTTCACCATTTCTTTTTTCTTTTATTTTTTTTTTATTTCTTCCTAAAATTAATTTCTTCTACTCGTAAACGATCGCATTTAAATAACCTTTGTATATTCGACTGATCTCCGGCAATTAAAATGTAAATTACATCACGTGTATTTATACAAACAAAAAGAAAAAAAAAAAAAAATCATTTATTCGTAATTCATGCGTATTTGCGCACAACAACACCACCGGAATCGATTTAATGCGAATCGAGAATTATAACGAGAATCGTTGATGTAAAATATTCAAACTGCTATTTAATCTTGCGAAATTGAATAATTCCTATGAGAAAAGTATGAAAGAGAGAGAAAGAGAGAGAGAGAGAGAGAGAGAGAGAGAGAGAGAAAGAGAAAATTGAACGACCGACCATATCGATTTAATAGTACGAACAAATCCACTCAGTTACCTAAATCTTGAAAATATATAAAATTTTGAGAGAGATAGAGAGAGAGAGAGAGAGAGAGAGAGAGATAAAGAGAGAGGACGACTTACCCAGGTGGCCATGCTGGTGTTATTTCCGGTCGCAGCGAATGCGTTACTGGATGCCAAAAGTTGCTCGGTACGTACTTTTATAGATGGAAGGGTACTATCCGTACTTTCTTCCGTGCTAAGCACCAATGTCGTTTACGACGGACAGCCTAATGTTTTAATCGTCGTCATAATGCGCGCCCGAGCGCAACCGCAATCGGATAAACGATCGCTAACCGAGAACCTCTTGCATTTTATTCGTTGCAAATGATCCATAGGAACCTTACTTCCGGCGAATTAAAAAACTCTTTCGCGGGTCTGAGCTCATCGAATGACAAAAAAAAAAAAGAAAAAAAAAAGAAAAAAATAATAATAAAATAAGAAGAAAGAAACAATCCTTTCTCTCTTTACTTTTAATTTAAGGCATTCCCACCGTGAAGGATACTTTTCGTAAACTCAGAGAAAATGTTCGGCTAATGAGTGTAACGATTGATATTTCAAACATAAAGAGAGATAGATAGATAGAGAGAGAGAGAGAAAGAGAGGGGTGGAGGAGAAGAGGGAAGAAGAAAATAAAAGGAACGAGTCAGGAGAAGGAACTCGACAAGTTGGCTCCGCGATCGATCGAATTCACCATCGATAGAATATTTCCTTTCATCGATTTCATTGGCAATAAATTTAAATGTTACGAATAAAATCAAACGATTGATCGAAAAGGGAGGTATATATGTATATATATGTGTGCATATGTGTGTATATATATGTGTGTATATATGTGTGTGTGTGTATATGCGTGTGTATATGCGTGTATATTAGTATACATAGAATCATTGCGGATAATCGATGTACGTCGCTTTGATCGTAAATAGGTCGTCTATGATAGAACGAGAAGAAAAAGAAAAAAAAAAAAGGAAGAAAAGGAGGAAGGAAATATATCAAACTTCTTTCTCTTCCTGTTAACGTCGTTCGCTCCTCGTTATCGTCGATTTTTCTCCTTAAAGGGATTTTCATTTTCTTTTCCTCCTTTGGTTCGTTCGTTCAATTATCACAAATCGTATCAAGAATGATAAGAAAAAAAAAAAAAAAAATGTTAGAACATTTGATTGATCAGTCGAACGAAAATTTAAGAAAATTCATAAAGTTAATAGCTTTCATTTTCATTCGATTTAATAATTGTTTTATTAAGCACAATTGTTTCTATTTCATTCTATTATTTTTTCCTAAAGAATTTCGTATATCTATATATACATATATACATATATATATATTCATATTCATATATATATATATATACGTATATATACAAACGTATCTCGTTTAAGCCGAACCCACTTCCTCGCAATTCTCAATGGTACTCGCGAAATTGTGAAGGTGGTCGTATTATAAATGAGCGTTGACGTTTCGCCGTTTGACTCACTCGCCGTGGACTTTTCACGTAAACGCGAAGTTTCAACGGTTGAAAGTAATTTCGAGAAGAGGCTACGGAATTGCCGTCGCGTGCCACGAATTTTGAATCCCTTTTAATCCCGACCCCTAAGCAATGCCACAAATTTTCACTACTGAGCCAAATAAATGTTGTTGCATATTTTGTCAAGTTTCTTAAACGTTACAACGAAATCCTCTTATTACCTTTCCTTCTCTTTTCTCTCATTCTTCTTTATCCTTATCAAATCTCTTCCTTTTTTTTTCTTTTTCTTTCTTTTTTTTCCCTTTTTTTTTCTTTTTTCTTTTCTTTTTTTTTTTTTCTTTTTTTTACCTAAGAGCTGATAACGCGATTTGAATTTTAATAGAGCACCAAAAAATACGTGCGTTGTCTCGTTGATTTATGAAATCGCCAGAATGGATACCAAATTAAAGGAACGCACGAGAGTGGATGGTATAGAAAACACGAAATATTGTATCCATCTCTACGTCAAAGTTGATAAAGCACGTTCAATGAAATGACAGAAAAATTACGTTATAACGTCGCATGCATATATGCCATGGGTGGACGATCAAATTTATCGTATCGTTCACGAAATAACGCTAGTGATTTTATTTATTTCTATTCATAGCAATGTAGCGAATATCGTTGGACGTTTCTATCATTGAATCGAGAGAGAGAAAGAGAGAGAGAAACATGAATGGAATGTAAAAAGAAGAAAAGAAGAAAATGATTGTCCTATTCGAAACTTTTTCGCATTTATTTTATTTTATTCGTTTATTCGCTCTCTCTCTCTCTCTCTTAGAAGATAACTCTAGAACCGTAGTGAATAAGTTAAAAAAAAAAAAAAAAACAGATCTGATATTTATAATGTGTATCTTTTCCTTCTCTCTCTCTCTCTCTTCTAAGAGAAAAAGAAAGATATTTCATTCTCTTCTCTTTCGTCTTACTGATAACGATAGTAAGCAGAAAAAGATTTGGAAGAGTATCATTCGGCATTTAGCGAAATTCTAGAAAGCAGATCTTTTCTGGTTATCAACGAAATGTATCATCTTTTTCTCTTTTTCCATTTCATCTCGATCTCTCCCTCTTTCTCTCTCTCTCTCTCTCTCTCTCTCTCTCTCTTCGAAGCAGACACATTAACGGTGCTCGGATAATTATTTCCGCACGATTTTCTCCGCACGTTTCACCACGGTTAAGCAGAATTTATCGAACGAGTCGTAAGGGAGGAAGTCCCCGTAGACTTCGAGACTCGTTCGAAACATAAAACAGAACATAAAATAAAATAAAAGATAGAGCCGATGTTTTAAAAAAGATTAAAGATATAAGCGGATCAATCACGGACATATTACTATTAGTTAACTAAACGTCAATTATATTTCTTCGATATGTATCACGTTAATAACGTTATTAAAATTATTTAAGATTCTTAAAATGTTTATCAGGCATGTAATATTCCTCAGCGTTATATTAATTTGTTATTCACACGCGAACGTTAAAGATTATGAATCACGAAGGGAATAAATAAAGAGAGAAAAAGAGAAAAGCGAAAAGAAAAAGATCATTCCATTCACATCTTTCTTCGAACGTCGACGGGTCCTGCAAAAGCTACTAAACGCCTCTCTTCCACCTTTACTCTCTCTCTCTCTCTCTCTCTTTCTCACACATACACACATAGACACACACACACACACACATACACACACACATATACATACATATATACACTTTCGATCTCTCGAAGCACGCAAAAAGAGAGAAAGAGAGAAAGAGTAGGATGAGGTTGAAGGAGGAAGGGAGTATCTACGTTATCGATTTAAACATTAGCGTCCCACTACGATAATAGAGCAGCCGTTTATGTACACACGGGCTATCTGCCCTCATACCATGGCTATGTCGGCTATTAAACGAGCTTTTCCCCATTTTTTTTGTCGTCTACTCAACCTCTTCTCTCTCTCTCTCTCTCTCTCTCTCTCTTTCTTCCTTCCTTCCTTTCTTTCTTTCTTTCTTTCTTTCTTTCTTTCTCTCACTCGACTGCGTGCCGCTGACGCACGAACGTTTCCCTTCTGAATTAATCCGCGATAATTCGTCATCCCTTTTCAAAGAGAGAGGGAGAGAGAGAGAGAGAGAGAGAGAGAACGAACGAGATTTGTACGAACCACGGAATTAGCTCTGATCTCCTTTGGTTCTTTACCGAACATGACATAAATGTTCGTTACTCGATCACCCGTAATATTTGTCCGATCGAGGATCGTAACCTTTCGTTATATATTTTTCTTTTTCTCGCATTAACGAGAAGAAGGAAAGAAAAGAAAGAAAAAAAAAAAAAAAAAAAAAAAAAAGAAAGAAAAAACGGGAAGAAGAAGTAGAAGAAAAAGATAATAGATAGATACTGATATATCGAAAGTATTATTCGATTTATATTATTTCCAATTGAACGTTTATGAGGATATCAATTTATTTAAGTAGACATAGTTAAAGAGGGAAGATATGATAAGAAAAAAAGGAAAAATACTCGTTATTTTTATTATTCCATTTATCATTTTACTTGAAGATAAAGTAAAGTATAGTGTGTGTGTGAGAGAAAAAGAGAGAGAGAGAGAGAGGGAGAGAGAGCGAAGTACCTAAAGCCCTATTCGCATTATTTTAACATCCACGTGTAAATTAAGAAACACGTTAAGTCCAAATCCTCCGTCGTACCTTTATGGAGATGAAGAGATAGAGAGAGATAGAGAGAGATAGAGAGAGATAGAGAGAGAGAGAGAGAGAGAGAGAGAGAGAAAGACAGAGTGAGAGAGAAAGAGAGAAGTCTGAGTTGGTGAATTTACATTCGAAAGAGAAGGTCCGTTAAATGGCAACGAAGTTGGAACAATTTCTTCCTTTGTCTCGAGAGGTTCACCGGCGCGAATTCGGTAGTGGATCGCGTGTCAAATTATACGAAGAAGAAACTTACTCTTGGGACGTTTCTCTCTCTCTCTCTCTCTCTCTCTCTTTTTGTCTCTCTCTTCGAACGCGCTCGAAAGTACTCTGCCATTTTCTTTAATACCTTTTTCTTTATACAAACTAATCGTACTGTAAGAATAAGAATTTTCGATCTTATACATTCTGCGTACGTATTTTGTAATCCATCGTTAAAGGTAAAAGAAAGAGAGAAGAAAAGAATAAAAAAGAAAAAAAAAAAAGAGAGAGAGAGAGAAAGAATGAAAGAAAGGAAGAAAAAAATGATATCGCTCGCGACGTAAGAAACATTTTTCTTGAAATGCCTGTTGCACTTGAAATTTTTATTCGTTTCCCTCGATGTCGGCCAATTTTCTTAAAAATATTTAAACAAAATTATTGTAACATTGTCAGAGTAACAGAACGATATTCATGTACTCTAACGAAGGAACGTCTTGCATAATAAATCGATATTGTGATTTTATGTCTCTTCCTCCTTTTAACCCTCCTTTCATTCTTTCCTTTTTTTCTTTCGGGAACGATACATTTTGTTTCGTTCTTTTACTCTTTCTCACAATTCCTTTTTCCTTTCTATTTAACGAATTGACTTTACTTCACACCCTTAACCAAGAGAAATCGAAGAAAACGAGAAGAGACGAGCACGACTAGCATTTACTTGACGTTTCGTTAACCGAGTACAAGTGCTGATTACAGGGAGTCTTAAAATCATTAGACAGTTAAAGAGAGAAAGAAGGGATGGAAGATAGAAAGGAATTTCCTGTCTACTTCCTCCTTTCTCTCTCTCTTTCTCTCTCTCTCTCTCTCTCTCTCTCTTAGAAGGGAGAAGAGAAAGTTTTCTTTCCCTTTTTAAGGAATGTAGAATTCCAGAACAGGACTTCGAATCCTAGCAAGCTTATTGGCAAAAGAGAAGTGGGTAACCATCTACAAAGGCACGTGATCGTTATCATTATTTCTATCTTCTTTCTCTAACCGCATCCTTTCTCTTTCTTCT